TCCCATGTCTGATTCATTATCTGAAAGTGTTTATTTAGTACTTGAGGAACAAAACTGTTCGTGGAGTTTGAGAAAATTTTTCTAACTTTGGTAAACATTAATGATTTTAAAATGTGGATTTCAATATCTTAGGTAAAGCTGATCTGGTTGTGATGTGATTTTCTCATGCAGATGAAGATGTTAGCTCTTATACATTCCTGACCACGCAAGCAATCTGACTACCTGTTGAAACCTATCAACCACTTTGCTTTGTTTTTCTAAATTTATTTTAATCCACTTTCTATATGTAAATTAGGTTGAGATAGCTAGCTCATTAATAATGATAAAAATTTGATTCTTCTATTTTTTTATTATGCTTTATATTTCACCAACTGGCTTCTCTTACAAAGAAAGCAAAGAAAGAGATAGGAAGATTTTTCTTATCTTTAGCTTTTGAGAATCCCCAATTACCCTACTAACTACCCATCCATGGTGTCTCTGTCTAACCTCCCCTCTAGTCAATAGTTCAAGTTTGGAACACAATTAACTTTGTTTGAACATAGTTGACTTTGTTTGAACATAACTGACTATTTGAAAAAAGTACTTAGCTTGGATATTTTTGTGTCATTCAAATAATTCTACATAGTAACTTGTTTATGTTACTATATCTCTCTCATTTCACAGTTATTTTCTGTCTATTTATCTATATCTATAAAGATATATATAAAATATGTTTTAGTAATCACAATAAATTTAAGTGGATTAAACTTGCTAGAGTTTCTATATCTCTAGAGATATTCATGCCTGGCTACCCAAGTATTTGAGTTTATGTTCCCTTAGTAAAGTGTAGTTGCCATTATAGACAACTTCAAAGTGAATGAAAAGATTCATGAAAATAGTATTTTGAGGGGTGTTAGAGCCACAAAAAGTTTATGAATGAGAGGAAGGCCTTGAAAACATGTACTTGCATAAAGTCGGTGCAATACTCATTAAGATAGCAGTGGAGATGAAAAGATCATGGAAATGACAACAGAGGCAAGCCAGTGAGCCTCCTAGAATGAGTGGCCGAAGTCTCATGGAGCAACCTCCCCACACACACGGCAAATTCCTCTGACTGGGACCTCTATAATACTCTCATTAGTTTTTGTTTTTGTTGTTGTTGTTTTCTCACTCTTTAGTCTTTTCAGGAACTTTTCTTTACTCTGTCAAGTGTAGACAATATAGATGACTACAGTTCCTCTTTCGTTCTCTCTTTTCTTATCCTAAGCCCCACCTCCTTTGTGAAGATTTTACCTCTCTATAGGTAAAACTATGCTAAGAAGTAGAAAAAATTATAATGAAAATGCTACATGTCAAAACTTATGATACACAGCTAAACAGGGACTTACAGAATTATAGTCTTAAGTGTTCGCAAATGATATGGCTTGGCTGTGTTCCCACCCAAATCTCACCTCGAATTGTAATTTGAATTGTAATCCCCACATGGTTACAATACAGTTGCCCCATGATACAGTAACCTCCCACCAGATCTCACCCTGCTGGGAGGTTACTGGATCATGGGGCAGTTTCCTTCATGCTGTTCTCATGAGAGTGAGTTCTCATTAGATCTTGTTGTTTGATAATTGTCTGGTGCTTCTCCTTTCTTTCTTCCTTTCTTTCTTCTTCACTCTTTCTTCTTTTCTTTTTCATTCTCTCTCTAACTCTCTCTCTCCTGCCCGCTCTGTGAAGAAGGTACTCACTTCCCCTTTGCCTTCCACCATGACTGTAAGTTTTCTGAGGCCTCAGCCATGTGGAACTATGAGTCAATTAAATCTCTTTCCTTTATAAATTACCCAGTTTCAGGCAGTATCTTTATAACAGTGTTAAAATGGACTAATAAAGGAAATCACAAAGATCAAAATTTAAATAATCGTGAAAACAGAGGAATAAATTCCCCAAAAAAGAAAGGGAAGGAAATATGGCAATAAAATATTTTACTAGGCACATTAATTGAAAATTCCTATATCATGCTGACTAATTAGAATTATCAGCTTATAACAAATATACCTCTAGAAATATAGCAATTCTAGCAAGTTTAATCTATTTAAATTTATTGTGGTTACTGAAACATATTAATTCTACCAAGCATTTAGTTTTGTTCTATTTTTCTTGCTCTTTTCTTATGAACTACCTTGGAATTTGTATTTTTTTCACTTCATTTTATTTTTGTGTACTCATTTCTAACTTTTGTTCTCTATTTCTATATTTTTAAAGTTTGTTCAAAAAATTTAATATGTTCATTTAACTTTAAAAAGTTTGAATTTAGTCAATGAATGTGTTTATTCCCCTTCTGAATGAGGATTTTAAATACCTTAATTTCTTTTCTTTTTTTTTTCCAAGATGGAGTCTCGCTCTGTGGCCCAGGCTGGAGTATAGTGGCACAATCTCAGCTCACTGCAACATCCACCTCCCAGGTTCAAGCAATTCTCCTGCCTCAGCCTCCTGAGTAGCTGGGATTATAGGCACATGCCACCACAACCCAGCTAATTTTTATATATTTAGTAGAGACAGGGTTTTGACATGTTGGTCAGGCTGGTCTTGAACTCTTAACTTAAAATGATTCGCCCACCTCAGCCTCCCAAAGTGCTGGGATTACAGGCGTGAGCCACCACATCTGACCTAAATAATTTCTCACACTATCTCCCTACATTGTTATTTTGTCAGTACTTTTTGACCCGACAAATTAGCCATTCTTCTTACATTTTTTTGTATGGGCTACATACATTTGGATTTACCCGTAGGTTAACCATCCTGGAATCAATGTCTTATATGCTGCCTAATGCCTGGTCACATGTCCACCCTGGAAATTTAGTCTCACACAAATCACATACACTAAGATATGAGGAGAGATGTTTGCCCAAAAAGAAAAAAAAAACTAGATGCTGACTGCAGAGAAAGGGAGAATGAATTCTAGGGAGGCATGAGCAGCAGCTGTCCAGTACAGATGGCCTGGCAGAGGTCAACAGAAGCCCCTCACTGACATTCTCTCTACTGCGCCTGGATTTAACCAGAGCTAGCCAATCACTTCTCATATTAAGAACCCAGGGTGTTAAATTTCAGGAGTTTCATAAGATGGGAAAATGGGACCATTTTGAAATGACTAAGTAGAAGTTACTAGCCCAAATGGGACTATTATGACCACAGCTGGAACAATTTCATGAAAATCAAAACTAATCGTAAAGCACAGAAATGTTCTGGAAGAGATTTAACAGGTCAACTATCTATATTGGTGTAGGCTGATTTAATCAGCAACTGCCACCAGAGAGAGAAATAACAACAAGACTGTTCTTAAATAAAATAACAGAGAATTACAACTGTCTTGAAAACCACCCAACCTGGTAGCCCTGAAGCATCTTCTTTAATGAATGTCTCAAGCAACAGTCCAGCAGGCTATGGAAAAAGAGCTGTTTACCTCCAAAGGCTATGAGCCTGTTTCTCAGTAGGTCTGTTTGAGGGCTTTGCTTGCAAAGATTGCCTGAAGAAATAAGGTAATGTGATTCTGAACAAGCAGAAAAACATAATCATTAGAGAGGTACAAAATTGTTTGCATTTTTTAAATGAAAATTTTCAGAAACTTTAAGATGTTTAGTCATTGCCCAGGACTTGTTTCTTACTGCACTGCAGAGGAGCTATTAGGGAAATGATTTAAGCCCGTTGGGGTAATGACGGCTTTTGTGTCTATTAGTGTGCTTCTAATTGCATATTTAAAGACTGAGCTACTAGAAATGATGGTGTTACATACCCAATGACCAAGAAAAGAGCAATAGAGACAGCACGGTCTGTTGGATTAAGAACCCACAGGGCTCTACCACCCACCCCTGCTACCAATAGAAAGTTGCTCAGCTGTGCTGTGCCAGAATTCTTCCATCTGTAGGAAGGCATAAATTACTGGTAACATAATGACAATAGTAATATCATACACTAGCTGTAGATACATTATATAGATATATACATATTTATTATTTATAAAGCCCTTATGTTACTCTATCAAATATGAAAATTGAATAGAAAAAATATGTGCTACTTGGTAACTTGGGTTAAGAATGAAAGTATGAAACATGATTATTAAAGGATATGAAACATTCGACTGCTGCAAGAGAAAGGAATGGAGAAGATAAATTATGGTCATCTTATCAACATGCCTAGAATTAAAATGTCCCAAAATTCATATCACTGAATTCTAAAGAGAACTTGCTATGCAGGTTGTCTGAGCCAATGAATTCATTATTCCAGATATATTCACTGCATAAAAGCATGAGCCCTTTTAAAAACAGAAGTTGACAATACAATGGTTGTTGCCTATCTGGCTCCTACAATTGCATTCTTCCCTGTTACGCCTTCTGCTACTCAACTTGGCCTTTCAATAACTTTTCTTTCTCTGCGTGGCCCGTACATGCTAAGAATTTTCCTGGGATCATACATATAGGTCATGCCTTTTACTGATCTAACCCCTTTCTCTCAGGCAATGCCAATCACATACATGACTTCAAATATGCTAATAGCACCCCAGGCAAATCCTCCACACCCACTTCACCAGTTACCTACTTGAACCACAACCCTGGAAGACTTAAGTGTACTTCACACTCTACCTGCATTAAATCAATCATATTATTCTCTTCCTTTCCTCCATCTCCTAAAACACTCTTTCAAAATCCCTATTCATAAAATAATCATTCATTTAAGGCAAATGCTGTCTCCATACATGGACATTCTATCTACTCTCTAGGTCTGCAAATGATATATTCTGCTAAGATCAAAACACAGTCTTCAGGCCAAGCATGGTGGCTCACACCACTAATACCTGTACTTTGGGATACTGAGGCAGGAGACTTTTGAGCCAAGGAGTTTAAGACTAGACTGGGCAACATAGTGAGACCCTCATCTCTGTAAATAGTAACAATAAAAAATAAAAATAACACATTATTTTCCATTTCTACTACAAATGACTTAGAGAAGGAGCTGTTACCTCTCATCTAACTTACCTCTCCACCTACAGATTCTTCTCTCCATTTCACCTGCTCTACATCCTCCTGATTTTCTAAACTGCAAATCTATGTCACTGCTTCCTATTAATGTCTAATGCCTTCCCAATAACTATTTTAAAAAATACAAACTCTTAAAAGGCATGCTAGGAACCTCCATCCGTACTAAGTCTATTTGCCTCCTCCACACTTTACGTAGGTCTTTAGACAAACTTTGTTCTAATTCTGAGCTCAGAATGTTTGTCTAGGCAACCACAATTTTATTTATATAGTACACTATGTAAGTGAGCTGTGTTTCCCCTCACCTTCTCTGCGAAGAAAACCTAGCCATTGTTCAATATTTGTATTAAATGGCATTCCCTTCCTTATTACTCCACTAATGATTGCTTGCTCCTGTAAACCAAAAATGAAATCCTAAGCCCCTCAACAGACTGAATGGAATTTCTTCTTGGCCAAGTGGATCCCAGAAAAAAACTGAAAAATAGTTCAGGCAAAGACATGAAGGGAGGTTAGGCATGCCTCATTATACCCACTATACCCTCTCCCCTTTGGAATTTAGGCTCCACTGGCCAGCATTAACATTAAAATAGAGATCTTAAGACTGACAAAACAAACTCTTTATAGCAATAATATACCCAACTCCGACCTGACCCCAATATGGCATCACACGACAGATATCACATCCTGAAGGATATCCAATTATTATACCCCAAAATGTATTTCTTTGATGTATTTTGAAACGGCCCTGCAAAGCCATCTCTTGGGGAATTTTGCATTGTTTAGAGGATCTCTTTCCCCTTCCAAGTCTTTTTCTGATCTAGGAGAGATTTAGCTGAGAGATTTTAACTAAGAGAGATTTCAAGTTTAATAAATAATATTTACCATCTATTCTCTCTGAAGCTTGCTACCTGGAGGCTTCATATACATAACAAGAACCTTGGTTCCCACAACTTCCCTTTTTTTAACTAAAGAATTTCTTACTGCTAATTTCAATTCTTTACTAAAGCTTAAGATTTTCAGTCAATTGCCTATCAGAAAATCTCTGAATACACCTATGACCTGTGAGCTCCCACTTCAAGATATCTCAGCTTTCCAGACCAAATCAAAATATACCTTACATGTATTGATTTACGTTGTTGCCTGTAACTTTTCTGTCTCTCTAAAATGTATATAACCAAGTTGTAACCCAATCACTTTGGGCTCATGTTCTTAAGATATCTTGAGACTATGCCTTGAGCCATAGTCACTCATATTTGGCTAGATAATCTTTAAATATTTTATAGCTGGCCTTTTTCTATCAGTGCTTCCTTGCTAGATCCCCTTTCCTAGTCCTATTACTAGTTACCATATAGTAATAAATGTATCTGCCTGTTTCTCTCATTATCACTTCTTCTCAATGGTAAAAGCAGTGTCTTATTCATCTGCTATGAATAGACTCTCTTACTAAGCACCTGGTGGGTATGGCACCTTAAATAGGAAGCGAAAGAGTTGGGCCAAATATAACCCAACACTTCAAAAAAATGTGAAGTAAATAAAAGATCTAGGTTTATGTCTGAGATTATGAAGTATTTTGTTGATTTTGAAAAATTAACCTTTAATATGGGTAGGCTGTGTCTACATCCAAATCTCACCTTGGAGTTCACCACATATGGTAGAAGGGGCATGGTGGGAGGTAATAGAATCATGAGGGTGGTTTTTCCATGATATTTTCATGATAGTAAGTTTTCATGAGAGCTGATAAGGGCTTCTCCCTTCACTTGGCTCTCATACTTTTCCTTCCTGCCACCTTGTGAAGAAGTACATGTTTGTTTCCCTTTCTGCCATGAGTATAAGTTTCCTGAGGCCTCCTCAGACATATAGAACTGTGAGTCAATTAAACTTCTTTCCTTCATAAATTACCCAGTCTCAGACAGTCCTTTATAGCAGCATGAGAACAAACTGATGTGATAAATTGATACTGGGAGTAAGGTGATGGTATAAGGATACCCAAAAATGTGCAAGAAACTTGAAACTGGGTAACAGGCAGAGGGTGGAACAGTTTAGAGGGCTCAGAAGAAGACAGAAAGATGTGGGAAAGAGTGCAACTTTCTAGAGACTTGCTGAATGGCTTTGACCAAAATGCTGATAGTGATATGGACAGTAAACTCCAGGCTGATATAGTCTCAGATTGAGATGAGAAACTTGTTGAGAACTAGAAGAAAGGTGACTCTTGCTGTTTTAGCAAAGACACTGGCAGCATTTTGCCCCTGCCCTAGAGGCCAGTGGAACTTTGAACATGAGAAAGGTGATTTAGTAGGATATCTGGTGGAAGAAATTTCTAAGCAGCAAAGTGTTCAACATGTCACTGGGGTGCTGTTAATAGCATTCAGTTTTATGTATTTGCAAAGATGTAGTTTGGAATTGGAACTTATGTTAAAAAGGGGAGCAAATCATAAAAGTTTAGAAAATTTGCAGACTGACAATGTAAGAGAAAAGAAAAACTCATTTTCTGAGGAGAAATTCAAGCCTCTTGCAGAAATTTGCAAAACTAACAAGAAACCAAATGTTAATCGCCAAGACAATGGGGAAAATGTCTCCAGGGAATGCCAAAGACCTTCATGGCAGCCTCTCCCATTACAGGACTGAAGATCTAGGAGGAAAAAATGATTTCATGGGTCTGGCCCAAGGTCTCCCTGCTGTGTTCAGGGTAGGAACTTGGTGCCCTGTGTCTCAACAGCTCCAGCCATGGCTAAAAGGGGCCATGGTACTGTTTGGGCAGTGGCTTCAGTAGGGGCAAGCCCCAATTTATGGAAGATTCTATGTAATGTTGATCCTGCAGGTTCAAAATAGAAGTCAAGAATTGAGGTTTGGAAACCTGTCCCTAGATTTCAGAGGATATATGGAAACCCCTGGATGTCCAGGCAGAAGTTTGCTGCAGAGAGGGGCCCTTATGGGGAACCTCTGCTGGGGCTGTGTGGGACAGAAACATGGGGTTGGAGCCCCTCACATAGAGTCCTCAATGGGGTACTGCCTAGTAGAGCTGTGAGAAGAGGGCCATCATTCTCCAGATCCTGAAATTGCACCGTGAACCTGGAAGAGCTGCAGACACACAATGCCAGCTCATGAAAGCAGCCAGGAAGGGGGCTGTACACTGAATACCTAAAGGAGCAGAGCTGCCTGAGGCCATGGGAACCAACGTCTTGCATCATCAGCATGACCTGGATGTGAGACACTGAGTCAAAGGAGATTATTTTGGAACTTTACGGTTTGATTGCCCGACTGGACTTTGGATTTTCATGGGACCTATAGATCCCAAGAAATTGGCCTATAGTTTTGGACAATTTCTTTCATTTGGAATTGGTGTATTTACCTAATGCCTGTCCTCACATTATATCTAGGAAGTAACTAACTTTGTTTTAAGGCTCAGAGACAGAAGGGACTCACTTTGTTTCACATAAGACTTTGGACTTGGGCTTTTCAGTTAACGCTGAAATGAGCTAAGACTTTGGGGGACTGTTGGAAAGGCACTATTGTGTTTTGAAATTTCAAAATTTGAGGACATGAGATTTGGAAGGACCCAGAAATGAAATGATATGTTTTGGGTATGAACCCACCAAAATCTCATCTCTAATTGTAGTTCTCATATCCTTATGTGTGGTGGAAGGGACCTGGTGGGAGGTAATTGAATCACAGGGTAAGTTTCCCCCATTCTATTCTCATGACAGTAAGTTCTGACAAGATTTTATAGTTTTATGTGGGTCTTCCCCCTTCGCTTGACTATTATACTTCTGAGTCCTGCCACTATGTAAAGAAGAACATATTTGCTTCCCCTTCCATCATGATTGCAAGTTTCCTGAAGCCTCTTAAGCAATGAAGAACTGTAAAACAGTTTTATGAGGCCTCCCCAGCAATGCAGAATTGTGAGACAATTAAACTTCTTTTATTTATAAATTACCCAGTCTCAGGAAGTTTTTTATAGCAGAGTGAGAATGGACTAATTCACCTATATACTTCATTCAGCCTCAAATTTCTCATCTGTCAAAAGAGGGGGTAGGATTGGTATCTGCTAGTTTTTCTTAGCACTTTTATTCTACATATACATAAATCAATGATTTAGAATTGAAGTTCTAGGCCTAGAAAGTTTTTTTACATTTAATAGAGAATTATCATATGTTTTCATGGAAAGACTATCATAAAGATCCAACTCTTCCCAAATTAATCTGTAATTTTAATGTAATCTCAATCTTAATAGGATTTTATAAACTACACAAAATTTATTTTGAAATTACAAAATTATGTGAATTTTAAGATTTATGATATTACATATATAGAAACAATTGATATTACATATATAGAAACACACACACACACACACACACACACACACACACACACAAAGAGACCATGAGAATAGCATCTTGAAAAATAAAAACAAAGTTTTTTGGGAATGGCACAAAATTGCCCTGATAGGTATAAAAATATTTTATAAAATTTTAACATTTTAAGCAGTGTCATATTGCCACATCTGTACACAGATTACTGGAATTGAATAATGAACCAAAAATTGATTGATACCTGTATGGGAATCAATAACAGAACAGGATTGACTAATCAGCAGTCAAATAATTAGCTGGTTAATATATGTTAGAAAATTTTACCATCTATATGAGGAAATAAAATTATATGGCCAAATAAAACATACCCCAAAATTTATTTAAGATAAATTAATGCCCTCAAAGATGGTAGAAAATGCTTTGAATGATATTATACTTTGCTAACACTTATAGAATATTTACTATATCTTAGACACTGTGAGTACTGTTCAGATATTAATTCTATCAATAATCCTATTACTCTATGAGTAAGGTAAGTCCAATTATTATTTTATTATTATTTTATTTACAGGAAAGGTAATTATGGTACAGAAAGGTTAATAAACTTACTGAAGTGTCACAGTTAAAAAGAGACAGAATTAGAATCCAAAATCACATATTCTTGCCTGAGTATCTAAGCTCTAAAAGACTCTATTGGCCATGAGATAGAAAGCTTTCTTTAAAAAACAGAACAAACTAAAAACCCAGAAAACCCAAATAATAAAGAAAATGGAGGTGTAAGTTTTCATGGAAAACTTGTATTTTCTAATAGAGTCAACTTCATATTTTAAAACAAACCACAGATTGGGAAAAAATGCTTGCTACATAGATTATCTGTAAATATTTGTTCTAATCATACATATAAATAAGAAATAAGCAAAAAACTCTTTCAAAAAGTAGGCACAGTATGCCAAACTGTGGTTTTAGAAAATCTAATTTGAATGTCTAACAAATAAAGAGTCAATCTCATTGGTAAGCAGGCAAATCAAAATTAAAACAAAAAGATCATAGTTTTGCCCACAGAACTGAAAAAAACTGAGAAGTCAGTATCATGTCAAATGTAGTCAGGTCCTTTCTGTGAGAATAGAAATTGATAAACAAATTTGGAGGGCAATTTAGCAATGTGTAGAAAAGATGAAAATGTGACTACTGTAAAAAAAAAAAATGACAGGGACATCC